TCTCCATTTTTGGCTGCAAGGTGTAGAGCTGTTAAACCTTTTTCATCGGCTTGATTGACGAAGGAAGAATTTGTCAATTCGGTTATTTCTAACAGCTTTAAGCACTGAAAATTCAATGGCACTGTCCTTGTAATGGGGTTAAAATCGTCCGCCTTAAAAGTAAAATCTCCCTCTGACCCCCAAACGAATATAGGTTCATCAACACACGTGGAGGCTTGGAACATTACAGTATCAGTGTTTTCAAAAGTATTAAGCACAGTGTAGTGCAATGGAGTCATTCCATGCTCATCAGTGTCATAAATGCTAGCTCCCATGTCAATCAAGGGTTTGACTCTCTTATTGTTCTTACAAATAGCAGCACTATGAAGTAATGTAGACTGGTTTTTGCTTCGTGTGTTAATATGAAGAGACGGCCTTTGGGAAATAAGCCACCTTATGAATAGGTAATGTCCATGGCATGCAGCTATATGTAGAGGTGAAGCTCCTTGACAGTCCCTATCGTCAGTCTTTGCTCCGTAACGTAATAACAGGGTTCCTACATCAACGTGACCATACCTTGCAGCCAGATGGAAAGGAGTCGAACCGCAATGGCATCTGTCTTTGTTGTATTCGTGTTCTTCCTCTAAACTTAAATGATAGCTTACATTCGCAGAAGTTAAATTCTGAAAGCGTCTACATTTGTGAGAGAGTTTTGCTCCACCCTTAATAAGCAACTCTGCCATCTCAACATGGTTTTGCCTAACAGCTTCATGAAGAGGAGTTCTACCTGTAAAGTCGGTGCAATGAATTGTCTTATATTCCTGTAAGAGGAGCAGCTGTGCAACTTTGGTGTGATTTTCTGCAACTGCTAGGTGTAAGGCACTCTGACAAAAAATCTTAAACCTGTCGTCCGACAAAACAGCATCCTCCGAATAGCCAGGACTTAAATGAGTTCCAGTTCGGTTTTGGAGCCAGTAAAAGGACCCATCACATCGCATGCAAATATCTTCTACGCCAAACTTTAATAAATACGCGACTACATTTGCATGGCCTCCAAATGCAGCATATTGAAGAGACAAGTGATCTATCTGCGCTTTACGTTCGTGCAACAACTGAACAACTTCCAAGTGTCCATTCTGTGCCGCAAGTTGGATCGCTGTCACGTTAACACCATTAACGTCCGTAAATGAAGCATTTTTTCGTAGCAGTAATTGTACAACATCACTATGGCCACCCCAAGCAGCAGCGTGCATCATTGTAGAATTCCAGAAGGATGTTTTGGACCTTTCAATTAGATCGCCCCACAAGAAGCTTGGTGACAAAGGTGCTCTTGTCCGATGCTCTATATAGGCTCCTTTACTTAAAAGATAGTTGACGTTTTCTGCTCGACCGTTTATTGCAGCAACAAATGCTGGAGTAAACCCATAGCTGTCCTCACAGTCGATGTCCTCAAACGCTTCACTAAGTATCTGAAGGACCTTTCTGTTACTTTTAGAGGCAGAAAGATGTAGAAGAGTGCGTTTGTCATTGTCAATGGTTGCATTAATGTAGCTAGCGTTGATATTCCTAAATTCATCGAGATAGTTATCGGCCTCTTCAGCAAAGCTTATGTGCTGTGCTAAGCGATAAATGTCCATTGAGGAATTTGAGTTGTTTCTCAGGACACTAACATAATATTCCATCAAACGTCTATGCCCTCGACTCCTGCTGACATAATACGGTCTCCCAAGGTTGTCCTTACTCGTCAACCATTCTCTAAACGTCTGGTGAAAAAGAGTAATGGTATTATCCTCCGCATAAGTAACAAAATGGGAAAGTCCGTTGAGAGCATAAACAAAGTCATACTCAAAGTCTATCTTTTCTTGAATGCGTAAAACCTCAAAAATCTGATTTGCCGTCAGAGGCTCAAAGGTAGCAACCAGGATTTCCAATATTGCAAGTGCAGGTCTAATTTTCTCTCTCGATCCATAAGCCCTTCTCAAGTATCTCTCGTATTGTTCACCCATTGTTTTCGGCAGCTTGTTGAGATCAGCCTGATTGTGCCAGTCATCCTTTCCGTAATGAAGCATCAACTTTGCAAATAAGAAGTTTCCTTCACTTTGAGTCAATAGCTTGTTTGTGAGATAAGTGACCTCGTCACTGCTACTGAGGCCTAACGTCACTTTCACCTGTTCAAGGAAAGGTGTATCTTCAAATAACATTGAAGCTATAAAAATTTCAATGTCTTGCAAGTTTCTCGCATCTGAAGAAGACAGGTGCACCTTTGGAAAACCGCCAAAAAGATTCAATACAGCTGAGTCATTACGTGACGTCATCACAAGACCCACCCATGTGGGAAGTCTGTTGTAAGTGTCCTTTACAAATTGTACTAACGAAGTCCCAGCGCTATCAGAGGCGCATTCGTCTAAGGCATCTATTATTATAAAGTAATGACGAAGTTTGTTCTTTACCTGTCTCAAGGGAGTGGCAATAGCTTGTTCAAAACAGTCATAAGGATCTCGCAAGCAATTTCGTTGAAGAACTCTCGAAATAAAAGAACTGTTATAAATCAGCATTCCGTACTCAGGAATCCTTCTGGCTATCAAGTCGACTAAGTTGCGAACAAAGAGACCAGGATCTTGAGTGGCTTTGTCTGAGTACTTGCAAAGATGATAGCCAATAATTCTCTTGTGAATGTAAGGACTGGATGCTCGGGAACAAATTAATTGTGCACTTAAAGCAGATTTTCCAACCCCTGGCTTACCGACCACCACAACCCCATGGACGACGTTGCCTTGTGAGTCCAACAAAAGAGACTCCAATTCATTGTAAAGCCAAAGCCGCCCCGTGAAGCGCTCTCGAGCGTTGTTCAGATGGCTCGTAAAATTGAACTCTTTGGTGTCAAACGGGACATCTCCAACTTCCAGAGGGCAACCTAATAAAATCAAGCATACGAGTTGTTTGTCGAGTGGAGCGTTAAAGGAGTGAGGGGAATGTCCTTGGCTATAAAATAATTCAATTGAATAGCAGGTGTACCACATGCAAGTTCAAAATGCGATTAGTGTAGGACGTTCAATGTTCGAATGGAAAGAGTTGACCGGTGAACGGGAACAACCTTTCATTAGTACCGCGCATGACGTCATGACTTGTTCAGTTAGGGTTGACACTGATACGCCAGTTTCGCGCGACGAGGTCTAATCTTCGGACGCTCGATCAAATAAGATGGATTCCGTCACACCGCCCAGAGATACTTCTAACATTTCTATTTCATTTTTTTGTGCAGATGAAAATGACTCTTTGCAAGGAAACAAACGGCGTTTTCTTTGCGAAAAGTTGAGCCGGAATTCATCTTGTTGGTGATTGGGTGCCATGGAAAAGAATTCGAGCCGCTAATTACTTAATGTAAATTGTTCTGATATTAACGCTACACATAAATATGCGATTTAAACTAATAAATGCGTAAGACCTTTTCCTATGTGATCATCAAACTACCCTAGCCATTTGGACTTTCTCAAAACTAAAATATTCTTCGGCCTTTTACTGTAAACTTAGAAAACCGCGAACACCTGAAAAATTTCAGGAATGTTGATTGTGTACAGACCAATCACAATTAAGTTCAGGACATGCCAGCAAACACTCGAGGCCACAAACTAATTACCATTGCTGTTTGCGGTGAAGTCAGTTTCTCGCGCCTCACTGGCTTTCTCCTCTCAACACAATAACATTCCATAAGTATTTCTGGTGTTCACGGTTTTGTGAGTTTGACAGTAAAAAAAGTGTTTTTGTCGGCGAAGGTCAGGTAAAATTTAAAATAAAAGGAATCTGAAGTAATTCGCATTTCTTGTTTTGTTTTGTTTTGTTGTTGTTGTTGACTTGTTGTTTTTTTGCAAATATTTTACTGAACACTAGAACCGGTCTACAGATCCTATCCCTCTCCCTACCAATAAGCATATCCTACGTTGCAGCACAATCTGGAAAAGGGATAGCTATTATGGATTGCTATTGTGTTGCAAAGAAATCAGGCGTGGGAAAATAAAAACGCAAGCAACAACACGCTAGTGTTTATTAGATTGTGGTTTGTAGCTTGCTCACCCTCGCGTATCCTGATCTTTGCTGTAATTCACGGTTTTCTTCGTTGGACAGAAATGAAACTTACCATCATTATAAGAATTGTGGCTCAGACATTTAAAGCATCCCAGCAGGATGGCTAAAAACATCCAAAATGTCAGAGACCTCGTACTCAAACTGCAGAGATTTACAACAAAACATCGTTTAGTTTTTTTAAGAGTCCATGATATTTCTCTCCAGGTCAGGGTGAAAAAGGAAATATTTCTTCTCTCCTCGTCTTTTACTCTGTCCTTTATATTTTGTAAGAGCTCAGTCGCTTTCTTTTGTCGCTTTTCAAGGCCACCAAGTTTCTTTCGTATTTTATTGCTGACGCTTTTGCAGCACCTCTTAAAATCTTTCATTTCACCTTCGATATCCCCCAACTGACCATAAACCGCAACTTGAAAGTCAGCCAACACTTTTCTTTCTACGCTTTCTGCATCAAAGGTCGCCTCCATTAACGTGATTTCTTTAAGGGCGGTTTTCGCATCATCGTCAGCCTTAAGCTGCGTATCTAGGAGGAGATTTCGGATTGCAGTTAAAGCATCTGCTCGTTCGCTGTCGGTGAGTTCTTGCCTTGGAGCGTGGCCCCATTTTGTGTTTCGCGTCTCTCGGACGGCTTCAACTACGTGTCGTTGTACAGGAAAATGAACACACCAAAACAAGAGGTTAATAAGTCCAGTACAGTCAGTAGTATTTGCGTTTACCACAGTAGTCTTACTGGTGCCTAAATCAGACATGAAAAGCTTGGCCACTTCCCAAACTCCACGATGAGGATCTGTCCATGCTGAAGAGTCGCTCTGATGCCATTTTGGTGAACTTGGTTTGCCTCCTCTGTGGCACCTCACCAATTGTGCAGCCCACGCACAAGTGTGCTTGGTCGGTGTAGGACACCTACACGGAGGCACTGTTGCGAGATTTAAGAGCAAAACCCGATGGAAAGTCTTCATTTCTCGTTCGATGTAAGGTCTCAGACCATCCAACATAAGTGAGAGGGCGTGACCAACTGCCAACCAGTTTTGGTATTCCTTCTTCAGTATTTTGCTATGCCAAGCTGTCGAAAGGGTGTGATGAGCCATTACGGATGTCTCTACTAGATACAGCAGAAAATAGTTTAAATCTGGAACGGGACGATGAGACACAAAAATAAATGTAAAATTAAGCTATCCCGAGGAACATAACTTTTTGCGTTTTATGGATATGTGTGACGGTTCAGAAGTTCTTGTGTGTTAACGTTCACGTCCTTTTGGGGCCATCTCAGGTAAATTAAAGCATGGGCCTCCAATTATTCAGTCAAAAAGTGATGGGGTGGTCATCTCTGAGTACTTAAGCATGAGAAAAAGGTGACAGATACATAGACTAATGGTTTGTGTCAATTTTTCAATTATGCAAATTTTGTCACGTGACTCCACACGCTCAGAAAACAGCAAAAATGGCAACACTTGTGAGTTATTAAACCGGACTGGTTTAGGATAATGTGTAATGCAAACATCTTCAAAACTGTGCTTCGCCTTTTTTGAATTTTTTACTGTTTTAGAAAATAAATGGTTTTTTCAACTAGACCCAGCCCCAAGGCAATTGTATCCTATCTTAATGCCTTCGCTTTTAAACATCTAAAAAAGGCCAAGCACAGAAGAGATGTATTAAATGGCCTTAACATTATGCAACCGGTAAAATAATTGAGGACACACGAAAAAATGTTGCTGTTTTAAGAACAGGCTTTTTCAGCTGATGGAGGTCACGTGACCTAAGTTGTATAATTTTAAAGCACGAAATTGGAACAAACTAAAAATGTGTGCAGCTGGGAAAGTTTTATGTGTCTACATCTAAAGCTCTTAAATATAGATTACCCTCTCACTTTTGAAGTGAGCAAATTGAGGCCCATGCCTTAATTTACCTGAGATGACCGGAAATTTTTGCCAGGTGTCAGAAGCGACCACGAAAATATTCGGAAGCTTTCCGAATAAGTTACGTCGTCCAAGAGAATATTTTATCGTACAAATACGGTTCTTAATTAACATACCGTGCTCTATAGTTTACACTGTGCGCAAAAGCTGTATTTGCTAATGGAACGCGAAATCCAAAAACGTATTCCGTGCCCGCTTCTGTACCATTAATTCAATGAAATCCTTCTTTGGACTTTTTAGATTAGGAAATCCGGAATTAATTTTTGAACTACGAATACGTGTATCGCAGAACCCCCCAAAGCTCGGGGGGAGGCCCATAAGGACGCGGATTGCCCGAGGGGTGGTTTAGGTGGATGGATTTCAAGCCCATTTTTCCGGTTCAGATATTTCCCTTTGGTCACTCTATGCCTTGGTAACCCATATAAATTTATAAAATAACTAAGATAGTACGCGCGCTCTGATTGGCCGAGAGGAGTGTTTGCATGAGAGTATGTAAACATGGTTGTGGCGTCAAGATGTTTTGCTTTTCTCGCGCTAATCACGCAAGCACGAATTTGAAAAAGTTTTCGAGTTCAAAACTCCACAAGTTTACTTTATTTACCCATTCCATTCGGCTGAAACTTGGAAAATCGTTACAAAGAAGGTGAGTCAATTTTTCTTCGCTTAAGCTGACATTTTAAGCGAGAAAAATCCGTATTTTGGAAAGCATCTTTTTGCACAACAAGAACTGATTACGCGTGCAAGACTTCGTGGACGAGACTTTGCGATTGGTAAGAATTTCTCTTTTAATCAGAGCCATACAAAGAGTTTTGCGTTTATTCTCGGGAAAGTTATTTTATAAAAGCAATAGAAAACTTTTTTCCTGAGTTTTCATAGCCTGATATAAACACGAGAGGGGTTGGGAGAATTCGAGACAGTTATGCAAACCCTCGACTTCGTCTCGGGTTTTCATAACTGTCTCGAATTCTCCCAACCCCTCTCGTGTTTATATCAGGCTGTGCAAACACCGAAAACGTTCGCCCACAGGTGGACCGTCCGAACATTTTAAGAGAGCGCAATGTCACGAGCGCTATGCGATCCCATTCATTTACTTCCAGATCACACAGCGCGCGTAACCTCAGGGGTCGATATCTGTAGGTTGCCGTCTAGCCTACTACCGGAAGCGGGCTCCTGGTACAGCCATTTCGAATGGCCAAAATCACGGGTCAAAACTGAAGTGGATTCAAGTGTCGAGCTTCAAAAGATCTCGGCGTAAACTGTGGTATTTAAACTACGTTAAAATGATCTTAGCTATTCCCTACCAATGATGCAGAAATTGGCATACATGTGTATGAATCCTAAAGCACGTCATTTTTTATGGCTTTTGACTTTTCTCATATTGAATAACATAAACAAAATATTATTGTTTCTTTATCACAAGGAGCCCACACGATCTGTCAGATTAACCGTTTATCTGCAGCGATATATCACTAAATATGTGCTTGGATTAAGTAATATATCAAACATGAGACGCAGTGTTTCATCACCAGATGAAACACCGAGAAGAGAGTTGAAAATACGACGCGTAGCGGAGTATTTTTGACGAACTTCGAGGTGTTTCATCTGGTGATGAAACACTGTGTCGAATGTTTGATATTTCTTCTCAAACAAAATCATTTTTGAAGGAGAAATTAAGGATGCAAAAATGAGCAGTTTTTCATCCGATATCCAAACACTCATTAAACATTAATTTCCTTTGAATTTTCTTTATGAATTATTAATAAGTTTGAGAATGCTAAATAAAAGTTCATCTCAAAGAACAGATTATTGTCTGACCTTACCTATATATTTAGTGTATACTATTGTTCTTTGTTCCTGTGTTTACTCATAACATAGTGGTCACGCACGATTACAGATACAGATAATCGCAACACAACAAACCATTCAAAGTACAACTAATTAACGTTATTTTGCTCCTTAGCCTACTCCAGAATTATAATGTGAAACAGAATTAGAAAGATATCGTATATAGCCTTCGAATTTTACTCGAGTTATGAAACAGTAAAGTTGGACGTTTCGACCTATACCTGAAATATAAGGCTCCTTAATTTGAAAGTCGATAAGCAGTCGGCACATAAACAAATCCTAAATCGAAACAATTCGTAGGAGGCGTCTTCGTACAACGTCATTATAGAAATGAATTTCCGTTCTCACGTTTACTCCATCTCGCTTGAAAAGTGAAATGTAGGAAAGACAAGAGGAAGATTTAAATGCTTGTCGTTGTGTGTTATTGTCTTCCATAGAACGTCTCTGAAACGTCGCATAAGGAAATTTCACGTCGCATAGCTTTTAGTGAGCTTTGTCTCCTCCTCATGAGCTTCGTTTTACGCACGTTGGTCGCGAACAAAGGCGAACGCGAGTGCCTGGTGATCACCTGGACCCTCATCGTTGCTAAAGCTCCCTAAGAACCGTTAAGAACCCGAAAGATCACTGATTACACGTGAGAAAAGCGATGGCCACAACTGACGTATCAAGTTCGTATCAGGGAAGCCAAACATCCTGTCTTTTGGTCATTGACGAGTGTGAAGCAATGGCAAAACTAGCGCTTAACTACAGTAGTCGCCTCTACAGGGGATGCGAATGCTTACCTGCAACTGTAAACTGTTCAATATTGAATTCAAGAAAACATGATTCATTGAATTGCTTTTCCGCGAAAATCCCTTTACCAGCATCCTTTACGAAAATACTACGTCATTTCAAAGAAAGAAAAGTTTAAAATCTGGAATAAGGGATCCGGATTCGGATCGGGGATTCGGGATTAGACTTCCAAAAAAAAGAGTTAATAAAATAAATAAATGAATAATAAATGAGAACAATTCTCATGTTCTGTAGTGGAAAGATTTGAACATGCATTCTTCGTTTTCCCGCAAAAAGGAAAAACCTTAAGACGAAAAAAGGGCACCGTTCGATAAAATTATCCAATCAGCAATCCATTTTCTGTTCCCCAAGTTATGGGAGATTACTTGTCAGCAATTATCAGTCAGGTGGGAATACGTTGCGTATTCGCTAGACCAACCAAAAGTCGTGGCGTTTGTGTCTTTTCGAAACCAATCAAATTCTTATATTCTTGTTCGCTTGTTGGTTAGTTTTTTCGCGTGTAATCATTTTAAGGTCACATGAAAATCATTCTATCCATCATCCTCGAGTTTCCAATTGGGGAAACCGGTATCTTGGCATGTGAGTGTACTGGTCACAACCATCATGCCAAGAAAAGCTAGTTGTAGTATCAGACCACACCATAGTTAATTAAGTGCATTGGTTACGAAGCCCGTTGGACTTCCTTGTTGCAATATAATGGACCATATGCACAATGACGTCTTTCTACTACTAAGACCAGAATTCATTTCGTTCCAGTTTCTTTCATATTTGAATTTGGTAATCCCAGCGAGGTGTAAAAAACAAAAGCCCTTATTTGCACAAGAAAACAATACCCTGAAGGATTCTGGTAGTAGTAGAAGATAACAGTTTACACGTTTTTAGACGCAGACGTAAAATGACGCCATCGTGCAAATGGCCTATCATATGTTTTTGTCAGCTTTTCTGGACTTGACCGTGAACAACATTAAATTTGAAGGGGAAAGATGACAAATTATTTTTGCTGGAAATATCTTTGAGTCGTAACTGTTCATCAGTACGATGCCTGAAATTATAGCCTAAGTATCAGGCCTTCCTTAGGGTTTAGGAGAGAGGAGAGGTGAGGTTTTAGGAGGGAGGGGGAACGCTTGATAGTCATATTTTCGTGGACAACAATAGCTAACATTTCTGCATATTTCAAATTCATTGTTAGTTATTGATATCAAGTGAAAATGAAACTTGGAAATAATACCCCTGGATAATGAGAGACTCACTTGTAGACATGAAATTTCTGACAAAATTAGAAACTAGGGAATTGCAGCCCTTATTTACTGCCTTACAATAAATCAATTAAGTTACTATGTTGAATCTCAAAAGTCATATAAAACGACCTCACAGTTAATCTGGAGAATCTCAAATTTTTAAAAAATCTATCGAGCGGCTTAAAAAAGTATTCGCTTATTTTTTTAATATTTGTTAAAGTGGACCAAAATGTTTACAAAACCACTAACAAGAGCGCCTAGGTACATACTTATCAAATCCTTCTTTCTAGCAATCGGCTTGAGCTATCTCCAAGATCTTTCACATAACGTTTTTAAAAAGATTGAAAATACTATGAGATGATATTGCTTTTCAAAAGCTCTTCGTTTTCTACAATTAACCATCGAACATCAAGATTGTCCAGTTTTTACCGTGTTTCTAACCATAAAAACTTCATCCCAAAATATCTCGATAACGCTCTTACAGATTACGTTTAAACTTCACAAACATCGAGGCGGCTAACGGAGAAAAAGGTTCCCGTGAACGATTTTGGAAGAACAGTTCCCAGTGCCGAGAAATAGGGTTGCAAGGAAAATATGTAATGGCGTCTTTTCGTTGCTATGACAACTCACATGTCATTTTAACCCTGATCATACCAAATTTTCACCTTTATCTAATACAGTTGTGGTGGTAATTTTCCAAATCTTTGTTAATGGCGACGTAGTTTGTGCATAAACTTGGGAGGTTTTGATCCTGAAAAACCCTATCGAGCCACCTTAACCCTCAATAGACTTTATTTTCGATACCCGCCATCTTTGCAAGCGCTTTTAAAGGACCGATGGGATAAAAGTGATGTCACGTGGTTTCTCAGGGGGCAAACAAGTGAAAAAACAGCCGGTGGAAGAAATCGCGGTTGAGTTTATTTATTCTAGACAACAGCAAATGAAGACCTTTTCTTTTTAAAGACGATAAAGTCAAAATATGGGTAGAAGTGATCGTTGTTACTTTTTTGAATGCAGTAGCGACCGTAGATGTCCTCATCGCAAACAGTTATGACGTATTTCTTGCCAACATTCGATAATTATGTACATTTTGCATGACTATGAAATCGTCGTCTCGTTTTAATAGAATAAACAATCTCCACCGCGATTACTCGTATTGGCAAATTTTATCACTTGTTTGCCCCATGAAATACCACGTAACATAGCTTTTATCCCGTCGATCCTGGAGCGTGTGCAAAGATGGCAGGTATCGTGAACAAGGTCTATTCGCGTTATTATTATTATTATTATTATTATTATTATTATTATTGTTATTATTAAGACAACTAGGCACACCCCTCATCCAAACGAAGGCAACGCCCATGCAAGACTATCGAATTAAGATTATAGAGGGATGTTGAACATTAATTTTGGCTTTTTAAAATTCGGCCTAGTGACGTTACGTGGGATGTTCTGTATGAGCAACTGTCGGATGTTGCAGTTACAACAGCTTCAAAGTATAATCGCGGACTTACCTTTTGCCAACTGGGCAATGATACGAACGATTTTTCCTTTAGCCAAATGTATCTGGTGAGCACTAAACACAAACCTATCTACTTATCATCGAACGATGTAATTATGAGCCTTGTTTCGTACAGGTAGTCCAAGCTAACGTTTCTTGGCTAATTTAAAATTATTCAAACGGTGACAATTTTTGTAGGTTCTTAATTAAATATTCATATACGGTAACATAAGATTTTATATGTAGAATATTCTTTGCTGTAATCATGAGCAAAATGTACATTGAATTTCGCATTTACGCTTACTTTTAGCTTTTTGCTTGTGTTCCATATTTGTGTTGTGACTACGTTTCAGGTATCTTAGGCAAGTTTAATTTCCTTTCTATGAGCGACGGTTTGTCACCCATATGAGCAGCATTTAAACAAAGGAGAGAAAGTGAGAGAAAATTGTTACCGTTTGAATAATTAACTTACTGAGAAGCATGAGCCTGGGTTGCCTGTGGGTATAGTAGACTATTGTTGACAATAGTAAAAGACAAATGTAAAAATTATCGTCATATGCCAAACTAAGTTTCCAGTTTGTCTGGAGCTTGTAGAGCGATCGGGGAAACGGCGTTCTGTGAACGAATATCTTTGGAAACCGTGTGGATGCAAGAAAAATTGAACGAAAGCGTTTGCCTCATTCGGTTCTTAGGCAACAACTAATGAAGCTGGACAAATTTCAGGTGTCCATTCCACGTTGACAGAAAAGCTATAGCCAAGTGAAGACCTTTGGTATCGCTAAATGATGGAAAAACTGTCTTAGTGCGATCCCGTGTCAAAGCCTTCTTGGATCTTTTGATAAAGTATGGTGACGAAGGAGCGATTCTTCGATGTTTCAACTGCAATCTTTTGCTCAAACGATACTCGACCTTTTCCACAAGGTCATTCATCGCTTTAACAAATGCTGGTGTGAAAAAATACGAGCCATTACATTGAATTTCTTCAAACGTGTGACTAAGAATCTGAAAAACCTTCCTGTTACCTTCATTAGAAGAAAGATGGAGAAGGGTCTTTTTGCTGTTGTCGCTAGTTACTTTGATGTGAGTTGCTTTGACATTTCCGAGCTCGTGAAGATGACCAGCTCGTCCACTGAAACTAGTAAGCTGTAGTGCAAATCGATTAACATCGTTTGAGGAAAATGGATCGATTTTTACAAAATTGAAGTAATATTCCAGCAAGCGTCTTTGCCCTCGACTCCGACTCACGTAAAATGGATTTCCAAGGTTTTCCTTGCTGGTCAGCCAGTTTTTGAACGTGTGATAAGATAGTCTGATGGTGCTGTCCTGATCCTGTGTAATAAAATGCGATAGTCGCTGTAGTGTATAGACAAAATCGTATTCAAAGTCTATCTTCTGCCGAAAGCGCAAAACGTCAAATATTTGATTTAGCTTCAACGGTTTAAAAGTAGCAGCTAAAATTTCGAGTACTGGAAGTGCAGGTTTGAATTTCTCTCTCGACCCAAAAGCCCGTCTAAAGTAACTCTCGCACTGGTCATTGATGGTTGTCGGGAGCTTGTTCAGATCAGATTCATTACTCCAATTCTCCTTTCCGTAAAGAAGCATTAACTTTGCGAAAAGAAAGTTTCCTTCACTTTGATTTAATAACCTGTTTACTAGATAGGAGACCGCATCCCCCTTGACGAAGCTTAACATAACTTTTAGACGTTCAAGAAAGGCTGTATCTTCAAGTACCTTGGTGGCTATAAAAATTTCGACATCTTGCAAGTTTCTTACATCCTCAGAAGATAAGTGCACCTTTGGAATTCTGCTGAAATGTTTCAATACAGCAGAGTCGTTACGCGATGTCATGACAAGATGCACGCATTTAGGAAGACTGTCGTAGGTGTCTTTTATAAATTGTACCAAAGACGTCCCACCGGCTGCAGAAGAGCATTCATCTAAAGCATCTATTATTATAAAGTAACTTTGAAAGTCATTGCTAGTAACTCGTTTTAAGGGAGTGGCAATTGCTTCTTCAAAGCAGTGGTAAGGGTCTCGCAAACAACTTCTTTGAAGAATTCGCAGTATGAATGGGCTGTTATGAATCAGCATTCCATACTCTGGAATCCTTCTGGCTATCAAGTTGACCAAATTTCGAACAAATCGACCTGGTTCTTGGGTTGCTACGTCTGAATGCCTGCATAGGTGATAACCAATAATTCTTCTGGTTATGTATGGGCTGAATGCGCTTGAACAAATCAGCTGTGCACTGAAGGCAGATTTTCCAGTCCCGGGTGCCCCAATAATTAAAACTCCACCAATATTGTTGCCTTGTGATCCTGTTAAAAGTGACTCCAGCTGATGGCTAAGCCAGATACGTCCTGTGAAGGACTCTCGCGCCTTGTTCAAATGGCTTGTAAAGTTGAATTCTTTAGTGTCAAAAGGAACAGCTCCAACTTCCAACGGACAACCTAAAAATGTGAAGCAAGGGTTTTTGATATATTCTACGGAGTGAGCTGAGCTTAAAGATTAAATTAATTGACTCAAAACGCAGATCTCTTCATAAACCAGGGGCGTAGTTAGGAGTTTTCCAGAGGGTCTCACAGTGTTCGAAATCTACCCTTTCCCGTCTCACAATTCGTTTCACTTGGATGATTCGATTAAATTTGCGTTTATGACTAAGTTGTCACTTAGTTTGGTCGCAGGACTGTGTTCTGCTGATATTTGAAAGTACAGTCGACTCCCGATAACTTGAACCTTCAAGGGAAATCGAAAAAAGTTCGAGTTATCGGGAGCTCGAAGAAAATAGCCGAGAGTAAGGTAAAAAACAGTTTTTACTACACAGTGAACATTTTAATCACATTTAATTGTAGAAATGTCAAGTGAAAATTAAAAGATATAGATTATAAATCAGAACGTAACGTAACTGACATAGCCTAAATAGGGCATGCGTTTTACTGTTTTGAGAAGTAAAGCTGCTTCACGTTAGCCTGTGGCAATCAACATCAGCCTTCATTAGTAAACTATACTCCTACAACACGTTAATAGGAAATCCAAAATTCAGTGTTTCGGTCGCCAGTAGACGGCGTTTTTCCCGACTTTTTAAGGGCTCAAAACATGGTACTTAGGCTATTGCATTCTTTCACCGAGCAATCGCTTATGGCAGAGCTCCACCCGCGGCGCTTCCGGAGCCCCTTAGCTAAGAAAATGTGGTAATCTAACCATCCGAGAAAATTTGGTAATCACGTGACCGTACACCGAGCGAGCGGCCGTCTGTCTGCACCACAGGCACACCAATGTAAAATAACTCATCAACAGGTATGGCAACCCAAATGCGACTCAAGGTTTATTTAGAAGGAAAGCACACCGCCCCCGGACTTTTAGAAAGAAAAAACAACAACAAAGTCGCGGTCTTTTTCGGCATTATTTTTTGTTTACACTAACGTGGATAACAGAGAAAGAGCTAGAGCGAGTTATTGAAAACAAAGGAGACGAATTTCGTAGGAAGAAAAACATGGAAATTCAAAGCAGCGGTGAGAAAATGAGAAATGCTAGCGGTTCGGCAAGTGAAAATGAGCGACAGTGAAAAATAAAAGCAAACATGAACACAGGAAACAAAATATTGGGTAAGCACATACGACAATTCCTCCATAAAAATAATGTGTAACTAGGAAGTTTGACGTTTTGTCTTACAAAACAGCGTTGTAGTCGTGCAAAACAACGGCAAGGGAAAGACAAAAAAGCGTGCTGCACGTGCAAATTTGTTTTTTGCTAATTAGAAGAAAAAATGTGCTGCACGTGCAATTTGTTTTTTTGCCCATTAGATCTATTAGTCTTGAAGCCATTTTCATTGTCATCCCTGTTTAGCATTACACGATTTAATTATTTTTTGTTCACACGTATTTTTAACCAGAGCTTCACTTTTAGCCCTGGCTAAATCTTTTTAATATAATAGACTTTTTTTCTACTAACCTTCTATGTACGATATGGGATCCAGAGGAGTGACACTGAAATTGAACAGCAAAATCATGACTAACCAAGGAGCAAGCATACACTCCGAAATCCGTTGTGTACACAAGATAAGGTTATCGCATAGCAACAGAGCTCCACTCTTGGCGAAGTTCCCCAAAGTGTTCCCTGCTCTCTGGTTAGTGTTTCGGACAATTTCTAAGTTCTCAACGATGCGCAAACGTTCTTCTAATTGTTGTAGATCTTCCCTGTTTTGTGTAGAATCACTCTTAAGTCCTAAGATATCTTCCTCAATCATTTCTTTAAACTGTTTGAGAACTTGAGCTTGAAAGTTGTCTACATCGGTCACGGTTTTAAGTAACTGGATCTCATGCAGGGCTTTCTGGGCGTCCCGGTCATGGGCTAAGCTAGGATGCTGAAGCAGTGCTTCTATTGCACCAAAGGCGGTGGCCTTTTCAGCATTGGTTAACTCTAGCTTGGTCACGTGCCCCCACACTCGGTTTCGAATATCACGAAGATCTTTAATCAAGGGTTGAGGAATGGGCCGGAAGTGATCACACCAGTACATCAAGTTCAAGATCCCTGTGAGGTCCATATCCTCTGCACTCATGACCGCGTGTCCTCCCAGATCCGGGAGGAAAAGCTTGGCTATCTCCCAAGGCCCCTGGATTGGATCTGTCCACTTGGTGGAATCACTTTGTTTCCAATTTGGTATGTTTCTGTGGTGATGACCCTGGAGGAAGTTAGCCCAGGTACATGTGCGCATGTCATGATACTGGTTTGGTCTCCTCCTTGGGACGAAAGTGCAGGTGCAGGGTCCACCGGGGCAAGCTGCAACTGCTGCTGATACTTTACTATAAAAATGCACTGTCTCTCTAGTGACGAAGGGGCGAAGTCTTTTGCAAAAAACGTTTATCAAGCCATGGGCGAAAGATACCCAGTTTCTGTATTCTGGTGTTGTGTGTTTCGTCATCTAAAACGCTTGTGTACAGGAATATGATGCTACCATAACAGAAAAGGTTAAGTTTCATCAACCTTTGCATAAAAATGAATAAATTAATAATTGACACTCCTCGTAAAAAAATATACAGCTATTTCGAGAAAGGCTGATGGAATAAATGTGCACGCGACAATCCCCAACGGTAATATGGTATATGCTCAATACACTGTTCCTGACGACTGTAAGGTTATATGCTTCTGCTGTGGCTGTCGAACCTACGTTTGTTGCTTTCCTTTAACACTCGCAAACATACGTCCATGGCCTCTCGTGCAATTCTTTCAAATTTCTTCGAAGAGCAGTGAACTCAAAACCACCCATAATACCTTTCGGGATTGTCGCGTGCACTTTTTCCGACAACCTTTCTCGAAATAGCATAGGGATACTCACGCTAACGTCACCTATTGATATTAATGTGCCAACCAGAGGCGCACTGGTTCTTGAAACAAAAGTTTCTTTTATTTCACTCGCTACAAATTTTAATAACATAAAGAATGTTTGTATGAACCAATGATGTCTCTTAGGGCCTGTTTATGTGGAGGTGGGGGACCCCAGATAAGTGAAGTAACCCGCTTAGGTGGCGAAAAAATAACCCTCCTTTACATGCAATCTTACTACCCCGCCATCCCGGGGTGCACTTTCTCAAGATTAGTGAATAGTCGCTAAGCACGTAAACAAGAAAAATGCTGGCAAACCACGTGTTTTGGCGATTAATGCTCTTCTACACTCACTTGCTGCTCTTGCTGCAACGTTTAGCGCTGTGGCTTTCTATTGTTACCTTTTATAATGATGCAAGGCCACCGCCAAAGTGAATTTTGCGCGAATTTGATGTATCACAAGTCGTCGGGTTACCACACCTTGAAACGTTTACAAGGCAAAATTTGATCCCGCCCGAGAAGGCAACCCAGTCCGGCAGACCGGGCTACCCGCCTTGGCGGGTCACCCCACCTATCAGTGAACTTGATCAAATTAAAATGAGAGATTACATGGACTGGCAGGTTACCTCACCTATCTGGGGCCCCGCACCTCCATGTTAACAGACCCTTAGTACCCAATTAAGCACGTGGCCAGAAGAAGAACCAACCTTCGTCAACCATCTTTTAGAACTCGCATGCAAACAATTTTCTCATCTTTTTGTAAGCAACAAAAAAATTAATAAATAAAAGTAATTTATAAACAAAAGTAAAATAAAAGCAACAAAAAGGAGCCCTAACCCAACTCATAACCTCCTTACCCTAACCCTAATCCTAACTTAACCCTAAACCTAACTCTAACGCTAACGTAATCCTAACCCTAACCTAACTAATCCTAACCCTAACTCTAGCTTTCCTTCCATGGTTGCCACGAAAACCCTCCTCTTAACGGTCATGGGACTTGCAGGACGTGAAAATGGCGGGAAAGCGAGAAATTGTCGAGTCCTGCGTCCGGTCCTGGCTCGAGTCCTAGCTCGGTATATAGGCATCCTGTAATTGGTTAAGGGATCAATTCGAATTTTTTCGCTTCTTTTTTGTCAACAGGTACATTTGATAGAAACTAATTGATGGTTAATTGTTTTTATTAACTTACACAACGGGCGCTGTTCAGCCGAGTGCGAAGTAAAAGACAGTTCATCGGGCGAAGATTATAAAGCGAGCCTAATTGTCTCCAGTGTGTCTAGTGTCTAAACATTGACGTTTAATTTCAATAAATTGAAAACGAAAACCAATTTTGCCACTGGCACAAGTGTCATTGTAAATTTTGCTTTTACCGGTGGAAACTTATAAACTCAGTTTGTGTCGTGACCAGTATTTGACCGGAGTCCAATATTTTACAGTCAATCATGCGAAGTAAAACATGCAAAAATGTTTTGTAGAACTTTTTGCGCTGAACCTAAGAAAATAGAATACCTCTAGCAATGAACGCAGCTTGTAATTTAATCACTCGTTTAGTTTTGACAAAAACTGATGAAAACAAACTTGATTTTATGACTGACTGCATGACATGGATCAAACGTTTGGAACGTAAGTCCAACGTTAAGCAAGCATTTTTGCTAATGAGATGTAAGTGTCATTTTTCTGGTTATTGCGCAAAGTAACTTCGTCAACACAAATTATCACTTTGATAAATCGTCCACGCATACGCTTACCTGGATGTCCAAAAAGCAGTTTTGTGCAGTCGCTTCGAAGTATCAGTAAAAGATCGACCTTGCTTTGTATCAAGTTAAACTTGTCTACAAGGGGAAAACCCGTATACCAACATCCTTAGCGAACAAAACATTGCATCGGTATATTACTTGCGCATTTAGGTTGTGTGTTTATACGGCGAAACATTCATTTTGACGGCAAAGGGGAATTAATCTACCTTACCTGGACGTCGCAAAATAATCAGTTTTGTGCAGTCTACTATAGACACAGATCGGCGAATCAATTTTTAATTTTTCAATCTCCCAATTCTATTATTAAAAAGCAGCAAAACACGATGACAGTAAAGAGTTCACACATGCACAGAGAGGAAACATTCAATTGTTCAAAATTCGCCCTCAAGAACACTGTATCAAGAACTGTAGAAGATTTTGGAAAGGCGAGCAATCTATACGGGAAAGGACATGGGAAGCTTGAGCGTTTCCCTCTCTGTTCCATTATCCTCTCTTGGCTTTGCAGTGCCATTTTTAGAATAAAATGCCACTAATTGCCTCGGAGAGTTGTATCTCAAAAATGAAACCGACACATCTTAAGAACTGGTTTCAGCAAATCCCAAGGGATTATAAGATCTTCACCTTCACTGGACGGCTCTTCTTTAATCCAATTAATGCGGTCCCATGGGAAATGCACAGGCCTCCTGGAAATAACGGCAGTTCAAAGGCGAGCAATCTAGGAAAGGACATGGGAAGCTTGGGCGTTTCCCTCTCTGTCCCATTATTCTCTCTGGGCTTTGCAATGCCATTTTTGATTGCCTGGGAGAGTTGTATCTTAAAAATGAAACCCACACATCTTAAATACCTACAATCACAGACAAAAGTAGTTGGGAAGGTTGTACAACTTAACAGTAGTCCATTTTAATCCTCAAAAAAGAGAGTTTTCTTTTTTCCTAAACATCCCCCCTCCCTCCTATTCAAGGTTGGGGTATAACAGAACAATTACGCGCACAAACATTAACGTTTCGCTCAACATTGGGCCAGGGGCGGGGCGAGGAAGGAAAAAAAGAAGTAAAAAAGGCAACCTTCCCAACTCTTTTGACGATGATTGTAGTTAATAGACCTCTTTAGCTTGTACGTTTTGTTTTCCCAATACAGGTCATGCGATAATACTCTGGAGAACTGTTTCCTGCAAATCTCGTGTCATTCACGTACATATCTACGCATAAATTATGAAAAGACAAAAGGTTAAGTTCCCTGGGGACCTCTTTTGGGAAAGCAAAACATACAAGCTGAAGAGGTCTATTGTCCTGACGTGTCTTATGGCAAAGAAAGGGCGAAGGGTGGCTTAACCGTTCAAAAATAACAGAAAATAATATCAGTTGTCTATTTTCTCTGCTGTTTTATTTATTTATTGCAGTTGAATTATATCAAGCACTTGGATGCCTTTGAGTTTGTTTTGTGAAGTTTCATTTATTGTTAACCATATCCTCAAGTCTAGGGATATGCCCCAGGAGAGGGGGTTATCGGGTCGCGTTTGGAACTGACTCAGTCACTTTAAAGACATTTTAAAAAGCCGGCCACAAAAATGGCC